CCAGTCTTGTGTTAAGGCACATTGCATTTCGTGTTCGAAATTCATATTATCTCTGTATATAGTCATAAAAGATAGTCCCCGCTGACACCTCGATAAAATATAACACTCCATGTTTTACATACATAAACACTCACGCCTGTCACCCAGAGGGGTAGACAGAGACTACAGACTTCCATTTAGCACGATCCTGACATACCTCTCTCGCCTCTTCCACATCCATATACCTACGCATATCATGCTCGTCGGTTAAGGGTACTCTTAATTTGGCCCATTTTTAGTATATCGCCAATTTGGTCGACAAACTTCCGCCTAGGACGTCCCTTTCCGACTCTTTCATTCACTTCTGCAACATATATTTGCTTTGTCAGTCTTTCCGCATTCATTCTTTCTACCTGACCAAACCACCGAAGCATTACTTTCTTAATCCTGGTCACTGCATCATCTTGCAAACCACACTCTTCTTTTATCACACAGTTTCTCACCCTGTCACTCAGATTCAGCCCTAACATACTCCTTAGCGACCGCATTTCTACTGCATTTATTCTACTCTCGTGCTTCTTCTGCCACATCCAACTTTCACTACCATACGTTAAAGTAGGGACTAATACAGCATTGTGAATTGCCATACGTGCCTTTTTTGACACATTCTGACTTTTCACAATAGAGTGTAGAGCCCCATTTACTTTATTTCTAAAATAAATATACTGACTGGGACCAGCGTCATAGATACGAGAAGTCTAGTGCTGCGATCGTCAATACGCCTGCAAAATGTGATGATTAAGGCAAATCCTCCGTACAGTGGGAGAGGTCAGTGTCCAGCTGTAAAATTTCACTTGTGGGAAAAAACAGAAGAAATGTACTGCAATCTCGGCATGTCATTCCAGGTTACAACGTAAAAGGTAAACCAACTAAAATATATATTTATGTAGTTTCCACAACTATACGTTATTCTAAACACTAGTCAAGTGGGATTTTTATATTGAACAGGGTATAAGATAAGTAAATAAATAATACCCTTTTCCATTCTACCCGCTCCTAATGACCGCCACATATATATACCTACATTTAAGAGCAAAGACTATTTATTATATCAATTTTTCAAAAAAATCTTGAAGTTTTTCCGTTAATATATAGCTTAGATTATTCTGATTCAGCCATTCTGAAGACTATCCCGGACATACAGGCAGATAGGCGGACAAAAATTTAACAATAGTTATTCATGCTTTAATTGCACGCAAATAACCTCAGCTCAATATAAGGCAGTTATTGCGATATTACAGACTGACACTTCAGTTTCTCAACATGTTTGCCATAGTTGCCACGCTTGGTGGGAGGGATGGCAGTCTCAGTTTTTTATTGTACAATTCCTGTTATCAGGACGATGCTGCCCATCTCCTGCCGGTTTCCCTCTGTCGCCTCTTACGACACCCACGGGCATTCCTTAGGGCTGACCTATGTTCAGCTGTGGACTTGTGAAGGGCTGTAATGATGATGATGATGACTTAAATTTCATTTATATCTTTAGATTACATTAAATCTCTCGTAAACGGGCTATATATATTTTTTTATAGAATAGGGTGACAAACGAGCACACAGTCCACCTGATGGTAAGTACATCTATCCTCGATTACGAATCAAAATGCAGATGCGTTGTCATCCGTGAGGACATAGGTGGAATGCCCCGTTTCCAGTAAAAAGGGTCTCCGGTTCTCTACACTCACCATACGAAATACAGCAGCATTAAGTCTATTTCACGCTGGTATTCTGTGAGAGCGTGGTCCTTCCCCGGTCGAGCCGACCCATTCGTGCTGCAACTATACTACTAATATAACTGCAGCATGGCTCTACCACGTATAAAATAACTGTAATATCATAGCTGTCAAGTTGTCTATATCGCACAACGCAGTGCAATGAAAATGATGTTCCACGAGTATGAACTCAAATGCATGGCAATACATTTGGAGCAACATTGCCGAGATATAATCTGCAAGGTTTTGCACACGAACATTGCAGCAAGCAACATTTCCACCAAGATTTTTTCAAACCGAAGTGACAAAGCAATACTTGTACTACCTGGTGATAAGTGGCTTCTTCAGCCCATGGACACTTGCAACCAATTGCAAAAAGTTTTCAAACAAGTACGGTCGGACCCAACGTAGTTAAACGTAGAGCACCGTTTGAGTAACAAAAGAGCTTATAGTCCACCGAATATCAAGTAGCCTTTAGACATTTGCACCTAACTGTAAAGAAGGGACTACTGATGCGCTGTTACCCATCATCAGGATTATTTTACAATACCAAAGGGACAAAATGGGGTGATAGATACCCTTACTACGCTACTCCGACAGCCTGTATTTTTACTGGTTCTTTATATCCCTTAAATAGGAACACATCCCACGTACAAACATTACACCATCATTAATTGTTTATTTATCCACCAAGAAATTAACGTTCTATTAAATGCGTAATTAGATTCAGAGCTATACCAATCGAAATAAAGATGTGAATGCTTTTAGCTGTTTCCAACTATCGGAAGTTGACAACGTCAAAAGATATACTGTAGTGCAGCAAACACAAGCTCATCCCATCCATTCAGTAGCCTACATTAACGCTTGTGCGACAAGATACGTAAAGACGATCTTTTGTTATGGCCAATATAAAGTCGGAGATTTTTCCGACTGATCGGAGAAAAATAATATCTTTTATTTAAGCGCATACTTCAATTTGTTCCTCGTACTGCGTTTAAATTTCGGTACCGTGTCTATAGTAAATCAAATTAATTTTTTCCAATAATAGTGGATTTAGTAACAAAAAGTACAGCGTTTAAGCATTTGACAGTAACAGAAAGTACGGGCGTACTTTCTGTTACTGTCAAATGCTTAAACGCACGAAAGAATTTTCATGGACGTTCTGTAGACTTTCCAAATGTTCTTTCACTATTATTGGAAAAAATTAATTTGATTCACTATAGACACGGTACCGAAATTTAGCAACGAATGAGAGGTTAACGTTATATTACTGTTATAGTCTGTCAAAGATCCACTGCTGTACATAGAAAACCTCATATAGGGTATATTTGCCATAGTTGCCACGCTTGGCAGGCGGGTTGCCAACCGCAACTCTTATTTTTTAGTTCCTTATGTCGTAACTTACGAGTACGACAACCAAAGGCCGATATTTTACGCCGCCACTACACGGTAGTGGTAGATCGTTACGTAAATTGACCGAAATCGTTACCGCTTTGATTCATGGATTAAAGTCCATTGTTGTTTATAAAGTGGCATCTTTAAACAAACATACAATAACATGTTATTTCTCAAAATGCGACTGTCTAATTAAGTTTACAAAAAACCTTCATCTGTCGACGTATTTTTAAATATTACCTAGAATAGTAGATGCATAACATTTCATAACTGTGGATTCGTTCCGAATAAACAATAAAGCGGTAAACATTTTCCACCCGTGAAAGGAACAGTGGTCGTAATTTGTACTGGTAAGGTTTTATTTTAATTCACCGTAGTGATTGAGCGGCGGGCATTCTGTTCCATGGCTCGACGGCGCGGCGGCTCTACACTCAGACGATTCCGCGAATCGGTGGATATTGTCGCAAATTGCCGCTTTCGCCACCCCCTGAATAATGCATGCGATAACATAGCATCACGTCTCGCACCCGCCGCCGCAGCCGCTGCTGCTGCTCGTCGCTTGCTGCTCACTCGCGCCACCAAACTGGTTTCCCTTCGTATATTGTCTCCTAGATACCGCGCTGAACTGAGATAACGCTTATGATAATACGGCTACGGGCGTAATCGCACCCTAACAATACAATGATAAACAACAAAGTCGCAAGTTTGCGGTTTTAATTTCGACGTTCAGTCGTAAAATTTAACGGTTAGTCAATAAGGCGGTATCATTAGTCAATAAGTAGTTAGTATCGCTAGATTTTTATTAAATCGCAAATTGTTCACACTCACTAAAATATTATTAGAGGAATGAATGTGTTCTTGACGACATTATATTGATATAATTCTACTATATTAAACAGAGACAAAGTAAGCTACATTCCATAGGCCGATTTAAAATAGTCATATGCAAAACTCATGGTGGTCCCGACATACGCAGTAGCGAGGCGCGAGTTGACGGCGGTGGCGATGGCGGCGGTTTCCCACAGAGGCGACTCCTCGACCAGTTCATCGGAATGTGGTCGCGGCACCGGCCCGCACTTTCACCAAAACAATTCGTTAGCGGCCTCTTTCGCCACCGCGCCGCGTGCCGCACGTCGCCACCCCGCCACCCCGCTATCCCGCAACCTGGTCTTGTGAAAATTAACAACATACTCATATATTATATTCATTACGCATAAGACATTCCCTAACGCATTAAAAACAGAACCTTAAATATCTGTGAACAATCGCAATATTTAAAAAATTAAACATGTATTATTTATTACTCTTTGTAGTACAGATCCATTTGACAAAGCGGGATTTCGCGGGACTTAACCCTTAAAATTTCCTTCGGTAACATCGTCAATATTTAACGTGTTTTATATTCGAAATAGTTCTATTTTGATACAATCGAGAAATTGATATTGGCCGTAAAAACACATCTATAAGTAGAATGTTCATCCTTCCTTTTAGAATCAGGTCACTGCCAGTGAAGTGTTTATTCTCCGGATACATAAAATTGGGTCAACATCTGGACATTGAATTCATTGTTGCTTCGAGACTATTGTATAGTTTCCCTTTTAACTTTTTGCGACTCAATAGCATCAAATAGACAGTAAAATTCAGTTTTTTATAAATATAATTTTGTCATTATCAGGAATCAAATATTGATTTATTATATTATATTATTAATTATTGTATTATGAATTCCCCAAAAAATCATACATCTTAAATAAATAATAAAAATATTAAAATATATAGGTACTCGTAATGAGCATAACAATCTTGCAAAGTACCCTTATTTTGTCTCTTATAATATTTGCTTTATTTGCTGGTTAGGTATGGCCAACTGTCTGGCATGGTGGAGCCGGTGTTCGGCGTTCTGGGTGCAGTGGCTGTATCTGCCGCTCAGCCCGTTTTACCTTACGCGCTGGCCTTTGCTGCTGGTGCGATGATCTACGTCGTTGCCGACGACATAATACCTGAAGCGAACGCATCGTAAGTTACCCTGTTATACGAGTATATTAAATTTTTGTTCTTTATGCTGTTTTACAACAAACGAAACAACACTATTACAGATAAATCCCGGACAACAGTTTATAATGTAACCCCTGGAAATAAGGTGGTCGTTTCGAAGCTGTTTCTAAAATAAATTTTGTAATTAGTTGAAAAACATTTTTCTTATTGTATAATTTACTTTGAAAAAATGTCCCGCTTCATTTCTTGCTTGTTCTTCCTAGGACGGAGGTGTTTTTTCCGAATCAGTGCTAAAAGTAAACAGTCATTGTTTACTTTTATTTTTTTGATGAGAATTATATCAAATAAATTTTGTGAATTGTTGTTTTTTTATAGTATAAGGGTGACAAACGAGCACACAGTCCTCCTGATGGTAAGTGGATGCTGTGGCCAATAGATATCTACATTTAACCTCGATTAAGAATCAAAATGCAGATGAGTTGTCACCCTTGAGGACTAAGATGGAATGCCTCGATTCCAGTAGAACGTGTCTCCGGTTCTCTACACGTCTTCACTCACCTTTCGGTTCTCTTACCATACGAAACACAGCAGCGTTAAGCTACTATTTTGCGCTGGTATTTTGTGAGAGCGTGGTCCTTCCCCGGTCGAGCCGACCCATTCAAGCTACAACCATAATATAACTGCAGCGTGGCTCTACCACGTATAAACAACATTTTTCTCATTGTATAATTTACTTTGAAGGAAGTCTCGCTTGGTTTTTGCTTGTTCTTCCTAGGACAGAGCTTTTTTCCCGAATCATTGATAAACAATGACATTCTGTAAAAATTATATAAAATTAATTTTGTAAATAGTTGGTACAACATTTTTCTTGCTGTATAAGTGTTTCTTGCTTGTTCTTCCTAGGACAGAGCTTTTTTCCCGAATCATTGATAAACAATGACATTCTGTAAAAATTATATAAAATTAATTTTGTAAATAGTTGGTACAACATTTTTCTTGCTGTATAAGTGTTTCTTGCTTGTTCTTCCTAGGACAGAGCTTTTTTCCCGAATCATTGATAAACAATGACATTCTGTAAAAATTATATAAAATTAATTTTGTAAATAGTTGGTACAACATTTTTCTTGCTGTATAAGTGTTTCTTGCTTGTTCTTCCTAGGACAGAGCTTTTTTCCCGAATCATTGATAAACAATGACATTCTGTAAAAATTATATAAAATTAATTTTGTAAATAGTTGGTACAACATTTTTCTTGCTGTATAAGTGTTTCTTGCTTGTTCTTCCTAGGACAGAGCTTTTTTTCCGAATCATTGATAAACAATGACATTCTGTAAAAATTATATAAAATTAATTTTGTAAATAGTTGGTACAACATTTTTCTTGCTGTATAAGTGTTTCTTGCTTGTTCTTCCTAGGACAGAGTTTTTTTTCCGAATCATTGATAAACAATGACATTCTGTAAAAATTATATAAAATTAATTTTGTAAATTGTTCGTACAACATTTTTCTTGCTGTATAAGTGTTTCTTGCTTGTTCTTCCTAGGACAGAGCTTTTTTCCCGAATCAGTGCTAAAAGTAAACAATTACATTCTGTAAGAATTATATAAAATAAATTGTAAATAGTTGGTACATTTTTCTTATTGTATAATTTACTTTGAAAACAAAAACTCCCGATTGGTTTCTTGCTTGTTCTTCCTGGGACATAGGTTCTTTCGATAAGAATTACATGTAATCTTATTTATTTAATATTGATGTTAAATAAAAAATATTCCATTCTGTTTCTTTGTTAATCTAAAACTGATGTGAACGCTGTTTTATATTTTACGATTTAATCAAACTTTTTGAACCTATACACGTAGATATTGAGGGATATTATAAATCATTGTATGTACGTTGGGCTTTGAAATTTATTGTGGATGTTATGCATTGTGCAGTTTTCGTAATACTTTTATACTTATTAGTTTTATTTTCAATCAATATTAATAATAATGTCCTCCAGATCGAATTCCAGTCAAAGCGGCCAGTCTTACCATAGACTAGCCAATCTGCGCAAGGCAGGACTACATTACCCAAGTGTGCATACACTTGGGTACTCTAATCCGCAACCACGGGTGCGCTCTCTATTCCCCAACTCTTCATAGTCCGATGGGAAGGCTTTACGTGCTTTCCGAGGAACGGGTATAAACACCGCTAACTTCCTGACTCCGGGCTGCTACTCGGAATTTCTTGACATAAAATCCCAATAACTGATTATGGCTCGATCCGAGATTTGAACCCGAGAACTCATGTACCGCAATCGTGTTGACAACTACTAGAACAACGACCAACGTCAATACTATGCTTATGGACAATAGCGATTATGACAGCAATTCGGATTTAAGTAATATTTGTTTTCGCTAAATTTTAATCTCATGCATCTCTCATGCAACACAGTGAGTACGGTTATTTCTTTTTAGTCTGTTTTTATTCAAATTGAAGCGTTTGATAATTTATATTCATAACAAATTTCGTATAAATATTATGTTCCGTTTTAAATTAAGTATTTATGTCACCGTGAGATAAAGACCTTGAGAGTTTCGAAAATTTAGATGGGCAAATAACTGTCTGACCCTTGCTTTACGCAACCCTCATCTCATCCTTCTAAAGGACATTCATTTCAAACTTACCTTCAAATAATAATGACGTTTTTTTGTTGATACATGTCAATACTTCCTTCTTTTATAAATAAGTCGTAAGCCAACACATCGCATATCGGTCGGTTATCTTTAACGCGATATCTCCGTCCAGAAACTACATGTGTTGCTGTCATTATTGGATCGACAAGGGTTCCAATGCGGTTTGATTGTTCCGATTCATTCGACATTTTGACAGGCTAGAGCCTAAATTTAAAATGCGCTTGTTAGTGGTGGAATACTTATATTTAAAAAAACCGTTATGGTTTCGGAGCAAGCAACGTAATAATGGCGATACTTCCCCTTATCGACAGTTTCTCTATTGTCCGTATTATAAGTACAAATATTGTCAGAAACCGGTCATGATTCCCTTCCTGACTTGAAAGAACTCGTTGACTCAAGGGCTGTTTGACTAATTGTCAAAAATTTTGCGTCTTCGTGAGAGACCAGTACAAGTATTAATTATATTATTTTCAAGGTAAAAGATACACATACACACACACACACACACACACACACACACACACACACACACACACACACACACCCGCGCGCGCGCGCGCGCCCCCCCCCACACACACACACACCGCGCATGCACACATTTAATCATTTTTTTAAAATACCAGCAATTATATTCATTATAATAATTCGCCAATGGCGGATTCCGACTTCAGGTTTCAGTCCGTAACCTTAATGATTATCCTACTGTCGATTGCTGTTCCGTATGGTACCCTTTCTTACTATAATTTAGTTCGTCTGCAGTTCATCTGAAAGAGATCGGAAAAGCCGAAAAATGTAATATTGGGTCTTTACATATGAAATTAGTGTTTTGTCGTACTGACCACTTTGATTTGAAATATCTCCTCTTCGGTTACGAATTCCAAATTCAAATTTATAAATTCATTTAGCTGGTACATTTGAGTTTTGAAAACAGCCATTAATTTGTTTTTTTCTCATTATTTTTTACTTTGGCGTCGCTTATTACCGCACAATGGAAAACATGAATAATCGGTATATTTACGCGTAGGAGTTCTACCATGGCACCAGTGCTGCAGAAACAGCTCGAAGGATTAATGATGTGTACGGCGCTAATGTCGCAAAAGAACACGGTACGTTTTTAGTTTCAACATTTTCGTTCCGAAAATTTCGACCTTCAGAACCAACTTCGTGGACGGCCGGAGACCAAAATGGAAAATAAAGAATTAAAGGCTATTGTGGAAGCGGATCCATCACAAAGCACTTCGGAGATAGCTGCAGGTTTCGGGGTAAGTGATAAAACTGTATTAATCCACTTGAAGCAAATCGGGAAAGTAAAAAACGATGGGTACCTCATGAATTGAGTGAATCGAACTTGAAAACACGCGTCGACTGCTGTATTACTTTGCTCAATCGACACAAAAATGAAGGGATTTTAAATCGAATCATTACTTGTGATGAAAAGTGATACTGTACGATAATCGGAAAGCGCTCGTCGCAATGGCTGAACCCTGGAAACCCAGCCAAATCCTGCCCTAAACGAAAATTGACTCAGAAAACGTTACTTGTGAGTGTTTGGTGAACTAGCGCCGGTCTCGTTCACTACAGCTTTCTAAAATCTGGCCTAACGATTACGGCAGATATCTATTATCAGCAACTGCAATCCATGAAGGAAGAACTAGCTGCTAAACAACCGAGATTGGTCAATCGCTCCAGGCCACTGCTGCTTCAGGACAACGCAAGACCACACACTGCACAACAAACAACCACTAAGTTAGATGAGCTACAATTGGAATGTCTGCAACGTCCACCGTACTCCCCGGACCTTGCTCCAACAGATTACCATTTTTTCCGGAATTTGTACAACTTCTTACAAGGAAAAAAATTCAAATCCGATGCGGCAGTCCAAACCGCCTTCAAAGAGCTTATTGATTCTCGCCGCAATGTTTTTCTATAGTAAAGGGATGAATGAATTACCTGTGAGACGGCAAAAGTGCGTAGATAAGAACGGTGCATACTTTAATTAGTTAAATATATTTAAAAAAAATTGACTTTATATTCCTCCCGTACGAAACGCCAATTTCATATGTAAGGACCTATTTAAACAAAAGTTTATATTAGGACCTTATTTGTTCGTATTTTATGTGCTGCCATACCGCTCATCTGATTGCGCTAAAACTTTGTCAACATAACTTATTGCTTGCGCTTGCGCGAAGGCTATAGACAATAGCCATATCACAATTAAGTTACAATTGGTGGCGCGATTATCTTATCGACAAATTTATTTGAATGTCATTTATCATTCAATTTCGATTGATTTCGGTGTATTACCATTCCTAAGCTCTATAAAAATAAATAAAATTGAGGTGTCTGTTTG